ATATTTTACCTTGATGTTCCTATTTGTTTAGTAACACTGAATTTTGTTTTCCTAATTCCTTTATATATTTCTGAACTATAGTTTAGTTTCCTGAAAGGATCTACCTATCATGTGAGAGTATCTTGAGCAAAATCATAGTTATAGGTACTTAAAACCAGTTTTGTTCCTTACAATTAATACAATTATTAATTCATACAGTTTTTGGTAATTACTGGTTATCATTTAACAAATATTTATTGAGTATCTACTATGGGACAGGATGGGCTAGTGACTGGGGATACAACAGCAAAGAAAGCAAAGTCCTTTAATTGTATCCTGATGATGATCTTGAGCCTGACTGACCCTGTCCCATCTGACACAGTCTAATCCCCAGCCTCTTAAACCACAGAGTGGGCTGGATACTCAGTGGAGTCTTATCTGACATAGGCCATTCTGCCCTTCATCATGACCCTTAGATCTAAGAAGGGAAAGGGAAGGAGAAAGGCAAGAGAACCACCAGTCCTGATGACACTCAGAGCACTTGGCTGAGGCTGAATGTAAAACTCTGGCAACAAAGCTTTTTTAAATTTGATTTATTTTTTAAAATTTGTTTTTGAGTGCTGGAAATTGAAGCCAAGGCTCTACGCTGAGCTATGCCCCGACCTTTGGCCTCAAAGTTCTTAAAGTAACAGTCATTCCCATTATTCTCAAGTTCCCCAAAGCCAAAGCAATCTGTGATTCTGTGAGACAGTAAGTATGCATTTGATCTTCTATTAGGACTTAGATTTGAAGGAGGTATCCCCAAAAAGCTCATGTGTGAGACAATGCAAGAAAGGTGAGAGATGAAATGATTAGGTTATTAAGGCCTTAACCTAATCAGCGTATTAATCTGCTGATAGTTGTTGTTGTTGTTTACCAGGGTACCAGGGATTGAACTCAGGGCATTCAACCACTGAGCCACATCCCAGCCCTATTTTTATTCTACTTACAGACAGGGTCTCACTGAGTTGCTCAGCTCTTTCGCTTTTGCTGAGGTTGGCTCCCGTCTCAGCTGGGGTTACAGGAATGCACCACTGTGCCTGGCTGCTGATAGCATTAACTGGGTGGTGGCTGTAGGCAGGTAGGGTGTGGCTGCAGGAGGCAGACCACTGTGAGCATGACTTTGGGGTTTATATTTGACTAAATATAAACTCTAGTGAGCAGAGTCTCTCTGCTTCCTGACTGTCATGTCCTGAGCTGCTTTCCTCTGCCATGCCCCTCTGCCATGATATTCTGCCTCATCTTGGGCTCAGGGCAACCAATTTGGTCATCTATGGACTGAGACCTCTGAAACTGTGAGCACCACATAAATTTTTCCTCTTTTACATTATTGCTTTCAGATGTTTTTGTCACAGCAAAGAAAAAGCGGTCTAAAACATCTCTCCTCTGAGATTCTTAGCAGAAGAGCTTCTAAAAAACCCTTGAAATCTCCAGGGTGAAGGGGGGTCCTTTACATTCTAATCAGATGGCTGTGGTCAGGGCCCCTTAGACAGCTCAACATGGGAGGTGGCTGCCAGAAAGACCAGGGCACGATTAGAAAGCTGGAACCTTCAACCTCACCAGACTTCTGAGGAGGGGAGAGGGGCTGGAGATGGAGTTGGTCACCAAGAGCCAATGACTTACTCAATCCTGCTTTTCTAACAGAACCTCCATAAACCCTCAACAAAGAGGCTCTGGGATTAGTGAAGGCATTCACAGCCCAGGAGGTAGAGAACTAGAACACCACAGGGACAGACGCTCCCGTGCTTCTGGACCCTTCTGGACCTTGCCCTCTTCATCTGGCTGTTTATCTGTGTAATATCCTTTATAATAAATCTGTTAATAGCAAGTGAAGTGTTCCCCAAGTTCCAGGAGCCATTAGAGCAAATTATTGAACTTGGGGAAGGGGTCATGATTTGCAGTTAAATCAGACATAAGTGTGTGCTACTTATAGTTGGTGACGGAAGTAGGGGTCAATCTTGTGAGATGAGTCCTTAACCTATGGGTTCTGGGTAAACTCCAGGTAGTGTCAGAATTGAATTAAATTGCAGGACTAACAGTTGGTGTCTGCAGTGAACTAGAGATTGTGTGGCATGAAACCCCCATAAAATATATGTTAGAAATGTTCTGTAAATAGGATCATGGTAGTAATAGTAAATCCCTGGGAAGAGGAGAAGAAGGTGGGCTATCTTAAAAGTTCACTATAATGTATTTATAGAGCCTGTTTTTGGAAGCATGTCTAGAAAATTCATTTAAAAAGTCTTTTATAGCTGAGCGTGGTGGTATGCACCTATAATTTTCAGGAGGCTGAGGCAGGAGGATCTCAAGTTCAAGGCCAGTCTGGATACCTTAGTGAGACCTGTCTCAGAAAATAAAAAGAACTGGGGATGTRGTTCATTGGTAGAATGCCTCTGGGTTCAATACCCAGTCCTGAAAAAAACAGGTTTTCTACAATTGCTTTATTACCTATTTAAGATAATATATTTTGATAGAAAAAAAATCAAACTATGCTAGCCAGAGTCTGGGATACAGAATGGGTTACATCTTAGCCCTGTGTTTAATACTCTTACTTTTTTCTTCTCTCACTTTACAATGATGTGGGTTAAAACAAAATAGCAAGGATATCTTCCCCCCGTAGTGGGGATTGAACTCAGGAGCACTCTACCACTGACCTACATCTCAGCCCTTTTTATTTTTGAGACAGGGTCTTGCTAAGTTGCTGAGGTTGGCCTCAAACTGTGATTCTCCTTCCTCAGCCTACCGAGAAGCTGGGATTACAGGTAGGAGCTTCCATGCCTGGCTTTCTGCCTAGGGATTTCTGCCTAGATCAACAGTGCAGCATCCCCTACCTCATACCATGGTGGCGAAAGCCATCTATAGTGAGGACAAAACTATCTGTACCCATTGGTGTTACGAACAGACTTAGGAGACTGGGATGACTATGACATGGCTCAGGAACCTGTCTGTGGAGAATTCATAAGACCACACACAAGAGGCGTATGAGTGGCAGTCTTCAGCAATCTGTTTCCCATTTTGCCAACTTWAAGAGAATGATGATCTCATGCAGAATGAAAGGTCACTGAAATGAGTGTGCTTAATATAATTCTCTCTCTGCTCAARGTTATTGTTGTTGTTATTATTATTAATATGGGGCTGGGGATTGAATCCAGGGCTTTATACATGCTAGGCAAGTACCCTTTCACTGAACTATGACCCCAACCCTCAGTGTGAGCTTTAACTTGGCCTAAGAAACACCCACAATGATGCATTCTTAGATTTCTTAGATTACATGTTATTCCATAAAATTTGAAAAAAACATACTGTAGGGAAGCTCTACTACTACTGTTAAAATAAATATTCATGATGTCTACCCTCTTTGAAAGAGAGGTCTCAGGTAATGGAAGGGCATTTCCAATTCTTTCACAGAGTGAAATCAGGAGATGCTAGTCTGGAAGACTGTTGGAAGTAGATTCCCAGCAAGCAGCTTTAGCTGTAAAGTGCATCTCTGGTGCAGCTGTTGGGGGAGTGACACTTCAGGATCAGCAGGAAGGCCATACTGCACAAGTGGGGATGAGACTACTAGGGAAATGGGAGGGGAAAAGGAGAGGAAGGATCAGTGGTCTGCTTCCTTCCCTCCACCCAGCTCACTCATTCTCCTACTTGGGAGGGAGGGGGGCTTTAAACTTCTGCTCTCTCCTATTTTTAAGCACACTTGAAAACTATACCTCCCTGCCCCCTTCCATGAAGGTAAGTGTGGTCATGTGACTTGCTCTGAACAAGGAAATGGAAGGGAAGTGATGCATACCACTTCCTGGTAGAAGCACAGGAAGCCTGGGATTGGGCCTCTGCTTTGTAAATGTACATTTGTAAATGGAAGTGCCAAAAGATGGAAGAGATAAAACTTTGTGTGAATCAGGGAAACAGCAAAACCAATTCCAGGCAAGAACAAAACCAAACCAGTTTTTGTTACATTAAAGCTGTTGAGTTGGTGGCTCCCGCCAGGGCCTCCTCCTTCTCCCTGAGTTGCTGTCCTTTTTCACCCCCGCTTCCTTCCCCTCCCTCATCACCTGGCTCTTCCTTTCCTTTCCTCTGCTCTGTGCTGATTCCACTGCTCTCCTAACTGGAAAAAAATGAGCATGTTTTATATTCTCATTCTTAATCTAAAACAAGGACAAGTTTGTGTTTTTATTAAAAAAGTGGGTGATTTTTAAAGTAAACATTTATATTTCTTGAGTTTTAGTTTCCCTGAGGTAAACTGAGCTTTAGCTTATGTAAAAATGTATGCATTGAAAACTTGACTATTTTATATAAACAAATTAAGTTACTCCTGTGTATAGACCCTCAGTTGGCTTTCTTGTGTGGCTATCAGGAAAAAGAAGAACATCCACCCTCCCTGAACATCATGCAGTGACAGCCACATAACTCAGAAACCCCAAGGTCCCCCTGCAGCTGCTCTGAGCGGCAAACCACTTTCTGTGCAGTTGTCCTCAGTAATTTTGTTAAAAGGGCTGGAGGAGCAGGAGTGTCCAGCAGCTTATTCAAGATTGTCAGACACCTTGGGTTACCTGAAGAACTAATCATTTCCATGCACATTCATTCATGCCACAGCATTTAGACCCGAGGTCACCCCCACCACCYGGAAAGTTGGCTCAAGCAATTAAAGTCCCTCTAGATATAAAAGAGCAGAACAGGAAAGGGCAGGAAAATGCAATGATAGCCTGGCTAATCATGCATATTTAAATAAACACAGCAGATGTGCACTTAAAAAAATTTAAACGAGCTCTGGTTTCAAGTAAGAACATGCTCCACTAGGTAAACAAGACCAGGACTTTTAGGCCATTTTAGACACCATGGAGGAAACTACTGAGGGTTTTACACATGACCAATTCCTCAGAGATGATGTGGTGCAGGAAGGGGAGAGGGAAGGAGGCAACATTTATATTAGGAACAGAAGAACATGCACAGGAGCAAGAGTCCTGAGGAGAATTCTGAAGTGCACTTACTGCCTGCTTTTGCTCTTCTTCCTAGAAGTGATGAACAAAAACAAGGCAGAGGAGAAAAGGAGAGAAATTAATGCCATCACCACAAATGTTGGGAAGAAATGAGGCAAACCAAGCCAGACCCTGGGTTCTGAGATCAAAGGGCCTGTCCAGTAGAAGAGCATCAATGGGACACAGCGAATGGCAGGCCTCTGCMCCAACCAGTTAATTCAATGCTAACTTATAGAACTGAAAGGAAAGAATCTTAGAAACCATCTAGACCAACTTCCTAATTTACAGATATTAGAGGCCAAGAGAGCCTCACTTTCTAAGGTCACATAACCATTTAGGGTAAACTGATAGAAGAAATTCAATCATGGCTTAAGATCCTAACCATCATTCTATGTCACCATTCATAATTTACAAGTGATTTGGTACACTTATCTAGTTCCAAGGTGTGGAATACAGACCAACAGCATCAGCATCCCCTGGTAACTTACCAGAGATACAAATTTGGCCAGACCCACTGAATGAAAGCTCTAGAATGGGGCACAGCAGTGTGTTCCAAGAGTCTTTCATTCGAGTTTGAGAACCATTGCTCTCTAAGTTTCCAGTGAGCAGTTCCATCCGTTCTTGGTCTGCTTCTTTTCTAGTTCCCTCTCCCCACTAAACATGTTGGAACTGCACCCGCTTCCATTTTTTTTTTCAGGGAAGCACATGCCCACTTCCCCCAATAAACCGCAAATTGCTTCAGAAGGCCTTTCAAAACAGAATTCTCAGTCTTGATTTTTCATTAATAGAATGCAGGTCTATTTGGTAATTTTTATGCAGAAGACATAAAGATCACGTCTGACTTTTAGAACCCTTTAGTGATGGCCCTTGCTAACCCCAGCTGACTGACAAAATGAATGCACCATCAGACACTGCTGACGAAGTTCAAAGATGAGATAAACACTTTCGAGTTTCTTTCTCCTCGGTCCTTTGCTCTTTGGCTACCCTATTCTGTCTTTTAGTGGATTTCTKCTTCCTCTTTCTGTGCCTCATGGTGGGTGTCTGTGGTCAGGGTGCATCTGCTCTTTGCTCCAGTATGTAAATATTAAAGTGGCTGCAATGGCTCTACTTAAGTTGGATCCACATGTGCAGGCCATCTCCACTGAACACAAGTCTGGGAGTCTTAGCAATGGATATGGATTCCTGCTGTCACAAAGTGTGCAGGTCTAGGTGTGACAGCAGAGTGGTTTTAGTTAAGCAAAGGAATTGCGAAAGGGAGAGAGGGTAAGTAAAAACTTGGGAGACAATATTTTTTACTTGTGCAACRGCCAGACTTGAACTAGAAATTAAATGAACAGCAAGAAATTCCTTGAGGCAGTTCTGGTTCTGCCCAGGGAGGTGTTTTTCTTATCAGAAGTCAGCTGCCAGGTACTGACCAAATCTAACACCCAGGGAACCCAGACAGGTGGCCCTGAGCACCAGCTCATTCACCTTAAGAAGGCAGAGGCTTCCTGCCTATGCATGTGCACATAGGGCTCTAGTCCCAGGGGAGTTTTTCAGTTGGGAAGTTATCTCCCTTTGCAGCCAGGCTTCCCGATGGTGCTGGACAATGCTTACATTCAGCAGGCAAGGCAAACAGCCATAGAAGAATTATTAAACAATCTTAAAACATGTTTTTTATTGCTGCTACCAAGTATTGAAATGGAAATTGGGATGGTAGGGGAGAAATGGGGCAATTCTCACAGCCTGAAATCCTTTCTCAGGTCAAAAGACCAGTTCGTAATTTCTTAGAACTACTTCTCAGATACTTCCCAATTGTCACTGTTTTTCCAGCAATGTTTTATGCTTGCCCATGTGGTGACTCTGCTATATATGTTAGTTCAAAGACACGAAACCATTATGATTGGCAGTACACGCATGTGTCACATTAGGATGGGGTTGGTGGACAGGCTATCATCCTCAGGACTTCARGGTCCCCATGTGTACTTGTGGACTTTGGCAAAGTGTTACCTAGGATGGAGCTGTATAACTTAAAACACACACAGTTATTCAGATAAAGTCTTTAAGGCTCTGTCAACACTGTAAAAAGGTTAGATATAAGGTCTTAGAACTTTTTGTTATCAATCAGTCAGCAGGAATCAGTAAACATTGACTGATGACAACGGACAGAGCCCAAACTTGATTTAAAGGGGTCATAATACCTTAATTTTAAAGTGCAAATCCTAGAACTGCTTATGATATCTAAAAATTTGAATTTCTTCCACATGGGGTAAGGTCTGGCCCGGTGRCAAAAGTAATGGCATAGTTTCTGGGATCATCTATACAAAAATATACATTCTAGCTAGATAAACATTTGCAAATGAGGTTGAAATTCAAAACATCAGTATTTATCTGTATGCATATTTATTTATCTGCATATTATATATTTATCTGTATATAAGTGTATTTCAAAAGCAATATTGGAACTATGAGCTGGCACAGTGGTGCACACCTTGCAACCCCATCTACTCAAGAGACTGAAGCAGGGGCTGGGGTTGTGGCTCAGCGGTAGAGCCCTTACCTAACACGCATGAGACAATGGGTTTGATCCTCAGCACTACATAAAAATAAGTAAATAAAATAAAGGCATGCTGTCCATCTACTACTAAAGAGAGAGAGAGAGAGAGAGAGAGAGAGAGAGGGAGGGAGGGGGGCAATCTGAAGCAGGGCAATCTCAAGTTTGAGTCCAGCCTGGACCCCTTGCAAGACCCTGTCTCAAAATAAAATATATAAAGAGTTTGGGATGTAGCTCAGTGGTAGGGTACCTCTGGGTTCAATCCTCAGTAACACACACCCACAGAAAAACAAGAAAGCATGCATTAGAAACAGAAATACCAGCACACAACCATTTCTAGATTAAATAAGAAATTTGAGYACAGGTTATTGATAAATTCACTAATCAAGAAAAAATGTAGGGGAAAGATATGTAGAGAAACATGGGTATTTGAAAATCAGTGTATATTATATCATCAAAAGAAAAAACAACTGAGAAGAAAGTCCTTGATACTCCTTGGCGATGGGGATTGAGTCTCTTCACCATCACTTACCAAATACCTAGCATGACATTTAGGAACTCAACACATTTTTGTAAAATAAACATGTAGTTAGTTTTTACCCTGCCTTGATCCCCAAAAAGAATATCTGAGAAAAATTTTTATTGACTGAATTAATAAACAATGGTGCAACTTTTTATATATACTTACTTACATGACCACTTTTTCAGATWAAAAAAATGAAGTACAAAATATTTTACTGACGCTATGGAGTGAAAGAACTGCCTGTGAAATGGAAATTCACTGTGTGATGTATGTATGTTAATTTATGAGCCTCCCAGACCATGTGGCTTAACTGTCCATTTGACTAACTGCTTACAGCTGTTTTATGAGCGAATTAAATACTAACAGACTGAACATCAATGAAAGGAGGACAGTCATTTGAAATTAAAATTAGGAGTCCAAAGGGTGTTTTTATTATGGGTTGGTATAATTTTTTTAATAGTAGGAAAACATCTTTGAGATTTTAATAGAAGCCACTGACTTCTATATATGAACTTTTGGGAATGTATATAATACACAAATTAAGATTGTGCTGTAATTCCTTCAGGAATCTGGACATTACTAAAGACATCAGATTTTCAACTGTGAACTGTGTTCCATGGATAAAAAGACAACGTTTCTAGGCTTGTGTTTACAAATTCATCTAGTCTGAGTGGCCGCAACCCTGTCAGGTGGGTAAATGATAAGGCATTTAAATCTGGTAGGGGATCCTATAAGATGGGGTGGCAGGGTCCTGTTTGTTTTGCTGAAATTATAAGACAAAAGTTAGAAAGAAATTTGGGATTTGGGGTTAGGGGAAAAAAAAGAGGAAAGGCAAACTTGCTCTCTCTTCTGGAATTGGGGCATTCATCTCTTCCTGCCCTTGGACACAGGAGCTCCTCTGATTCTCAGGCCTTAGGACACCAGGACTTAGGCCAGTGATCTAATACCCACTCCTCCAACWCTCTCTCTAGTCTGGGGGCTACACCATCATATCCCCTGGTTCTTAGGCCTTGGGACCCATGCTGGATTATACCACTGTGTACACAGAGAGCATATCATGGGACTTCTCTGCCTCCATAATTGAGTGAGCCAATTCCTATAATAAACCCCCTCTTCTATAAGTCTTTATTTCCTGTTGGTTTTGTTTCTCTAAAATCACTCTGATACAGTTTGCTTCCATTCTACTTATACTACTTATTAAATCGGACATGACATTCATTAAGGATTTAGGTGGAATATCTGAAAAATTAATTTAAAAGAAACTTCAGTTGAGAAATATTCCTTTATACAGAGCTAATACCCTATTTATAACATCCTTATTTGTTTATAAAAGCAACTATTCAAGAACATTACCCTATTTCCAGTTACAAAATTTTTTTCATTATTTTTTCATTGTTGATGAACCTTTATTTTATTCATTTATTTATATGTAGTGCTGAGAATCAAACCCACAGATGCAAGGAAGTACTCTACCACTGAGCCACAACCCCAGCCTTTTTTCTTTTTCTTTTATAGTGCTGGGGATTAAACCCGGGGCCTCATGCATGCTCTGCAAGAACTCCACCACTGAATCACACCTTCAGACTTTTTATTTATTTTTTATTTTGAGAAAGGTTGAATTTGAGACTTAGTAAGTTGTCCAGGCTGGCCTCTCACTTGAGATGCTCATCTCAGCCTCCCAAGCAGCTAGGATTATACTTTCTGATTTCTCCACCGGGAACAAAACTCTGTTGTATTAACCTAGCTGAGAATTGGCAGTTCCTGGATTTATATACATTGATCAAAATGCCCGGCCGCTCCAGTTATTAACATTTTATAATCAGGCTTTGAACCAATTTTGATAACTTTTATACCTAATTTGTGGAGATTTGCCTGAACACTGGTTCCAGGCCTGGCAGCCAAGCCTTTCAGCCTCCATGCTATTCTGACACCAAGGGCGGTCGCAGCTGAGACTGTGGTGGGAGGTGAAGCCCAGAGAGGCCCCTCTGCTTACCTTCAGCAGCTTCATCAGCCCCTCCAGCTGGACCATGAGCTCKCGCCTGCTTTCCTGTAGTGCCGACATCCTCTGCTCCAGCTCGTCTTTCCTTTGCCTGCATTAAGAGGAAGAATCCACCAGGAACAAAACTATTGTATTAGTCTAGCTGAGAATTGGCAGTTCCTGGATTTATATACATTGATCAGAATCCAAAGGATGTCAAATATTAACAAATTAAAACTGCCCTTTATGTGTCTTCCAGTAAATTAAAGTTCTCAATATTATTGTTGATGAATTTACCAATTTCATGGTTAGTAATTCTGAGAGATTATTTTCTATACCAAAATCCTAAAGAAATTCCAAGTGTGAACACACTYTGTTGGTGTTGGTTTCTGTGTCAGGTGGACGCCCAGTGTCTTCTGAACACTACCCAAGTGTCCTCCCTTCTTCATGATACAGAAGCACTTTTCAAAGTCAAACATTCCTGATTTCTCAAGCTTGAAAATCCCTTTGGACTTACATAAATTCCTGCTTCTTGCTGCCTTATGGATACTCCTGGACTCAGCCAACCAAATGCACATTTTTCAAATCCTTCCAGCTTAGCACTGAACACTTTAATAATAATAATCCCATTTCCAGCAACAGTTAGATGCCAGGAGGACAGTTTTTGCTTTTCTAGATATAGAAATAGTTACTTGTGCCTGAACTGAACTGGGGAAGGAAAAAGATGTATATTACATATTATATAATTCTCTGCTGGAGTCAACATTCGTCTCCCCATCCTTCCCAGTATCACTCAAATCTCACTAATATCCCAAATATGGCACAGTGAACACAGAACAACCAAAATTTCCACCTGACTACATTTAGAAACAAAAATGAATTTTTAGGAGATGGGATTCTATATACCTCTAATGATTTTTTAATGKTTCCTCTAAAGTCTCTACTCACAGGAGGGTACACACTGTTTCTAAGGTAGAAAGGAAAGAAGATCCTAGGTCACTTTCTTCTGAGAAGATTCTTCATTCCCTCCAAAAGAGCATCAAACTCGAAGCTGACCTTGCTCTCTGCTCCCATGCTGATCCTATGTCTAGCTTCTCAATCTTAAGAGACACTCTATATTTTTGTAGAAGTGAGAAGGTACCATACATAGTCAAGGTATAAGGGAGGCTCCTGTGGTTTCACATCTCCGCTGAGGTGCATTGGAAGCATCCTTCTCTGCTCTATGAAGCGCCAGGAGAATTACTCACAGGAAAGGGAAAGCGGGATGCCCAGCCAGAGTCTCTAAAGCCAGACAACTCAGCAAGAGAAGAGGAGGATGGCAGTATAACAGTCATTTTAAAATAATCCCAAAGGACAAACACTGCCCAGCTTGTCCTGGGAATTTAAGGAGATAAACTGGTATTTACCAGTTCTGTATTGATGGCTGAATTCTCAGCATGATTAATAATGGACCCCCTGGGCAGGTTTTTCTAACGGGACTGCCTACCTACATGGCAAGAGATTCTAATTCACTAGTTTGTTTCCACTGTAGATTATAGTGTGGGGACAAAAGAGCAGTCTCACTACCTACCTCAGCAACCGCAGCTCAGCCAGCAACGTGGGGTTCTGCTGGGCCTTCTCAGGAGTGGGCTGGGAAGCCTGCTCGTGCTCCAGACGGAGACGCTGGATCTCTTGCAGGATCTCTCTAGAGAGGAGGACGAAAGAAAGACAGCTGCCTGGTGCTTCTCAGCTCTCCTTCACTTTTTCCTGTTAGAACTTTTAACCCTCACAGTGTCTTATTCTGATTGCTCCCACATGACCAAMATGTGAAACAGACTCCTCCTCAATGCTCTTTCACCTGACAATTCCTCAATGAAACAATCCTTTGTGATGGAAAAGTCAGAAAAACACTCTTCCCAATAACTTGCAAAATCTCCAGGGAAGGGAAATGACAACCAGAATGCTTTATTTACCCTGCTCCTCCTGGGGGAAGGAAAGAGACTCCTTGCAACCTCTCATGCAGGTCCCTATGCAGGTTTTCAGGTCTCCAGCCCCTGACCCTTCTCTCCTGAAGCCATGCATGTGACTCTAGGTCCAGTCTCTGCCCTGGTTTCTACSAGTCAGTGCACAGTAGCCTGCTGTCAGGTCTTTATGCCTTTGAAGTGTTTTTCCTAACCCAGAGACCAGTCACATGCAGTGCAATGGGCCAGGACAAGATGACCACACAGAGCAAAATGCTGCAGGGAAGCAGAGTAGAGAAAGGAATCCAGGAAGGGGTCACACTGGTGCTGCAGGGGATCCGGAGAAAGAATTCAGGRAGCACAGGAGAGAAGCACTTTGCACAGCCAGAATCAACAGCATGCAGATGTACACCAGGGTCCAGGGCATTCCCTGGGCTTCAGCCAGCCTCTGTGCACTGGGGTGGGATCTTCCTGTGTGGTCAGAAGCCATCTAATCTGTGAGGAAGATGAGAACCAGATACACATGTGCTAATCCTGGACTTGAGAAATGGGCTTCATTTATGCATCTTACCTGTTCTTGTTTTCCAGTTCTGCAATAAGTTGTCTCTGCTGTTTGTTGGCATCAAAGTTAAAGCTCACATCAGCAGGAGGACGAGTCTAGAGGAGGTAGAGAGTTGTTTTTTCCTGATTCAAATGTACCTAGGGTCTGAGACTGACTTGATTTCTTAGAAACTGTTTTTTTTTTTTTTAATTATTTTTTAGTTGTAGTTGGACACAATACCTTTATTTTAACGTGGTGCTGAGGATAGAACCCAGCGTCTTGCAYGAGCTAGGCAAACACTCTACCACAATTTACATACCATAATATCCACCCATTTTAAGTATACAATTCAATGAAGCTTAGTAAATTCAAATGGTTTTGCAGCTAACAACCACAGTCCAGTTTTAGAACATTTTCCATCACCACAAAATATTCCTTCATGGTAGTCTTCAACCACCACTCCCACCCCAACCACAGGCAGCCACTGATGGGCTTTCTGGCTGGTTTTGCCTTTTCTAGAAAATTCATATAAATGGAATCATACAACATGTAGGTTTTAATTCTGGTTTTCACTTAACATGAGCTTTTTTCCCCCTATACCTTTATTTATTTTTATGTGGTGCTGAGGATTGAACCCCAGTGCCTCACATGTGCTAGGCAAACACTCTACCACAGAGCTACAACCCCAGCCCCAACATGAGTTTTTTAAAATGATTAAATTATTGCTTATTTTCTTAGGTGTGTCAATGACATTTTGAATACACAGGAAAATATCTCTATTCTTAGGCAATGTATGCTGAAGTATTCAGGAGATATAATTAGGACATACGCAACTTATATTGAAGTGGTCAAGTAAAAAACATGGTAAAATATTAACAATCATGTAATTTAGACTGAAAGTATGAAAAAATTCACCATACTACTCTTTGAGCCTTTTTGAATGTTTTAAAACTTTTATAATAAAGGTAAGAAAAATGAGAAGGACAAATAACCTGGTAGAAAAATGGGTAAAAGATATACTCAGACATTTCACAGWTGAGAAACTATTCTCAGCCATTGTTCATAATCAGGAAAATGTAAATTAAAACCAYAAATRGCATTTCACATCTATTAGAGTAGTTAAAAAGAATGAAAATATCAACTGTTACTAAAGACAAAGAATAATGGGGTATATGCTGCTGGTACGAGATGAACTGGCTTAAAGACACCATAACTTCCATGCAACGGTAATGCCTGTTTTGTGGAAATACCTTGGAAAAACTGTGARCATCAGTTACTGGTACATAGATTTATGTAATCCTTGAAGTTTTCTACCCAATTTTTTGGGGGTGGGGGATGCTAGGGATTGAACCCAGGGATTTGTGCATGAAAGGCAAGCACTCTGTCAACTGAGCTATATCACCAGCCCCRTCCTTTCAGTTTTATTGTAGCAGCACGTTTACCAGGGGGCTGCATTTTCTTATCTAAGAGATACCATATTTTAGCAAAAGTGGCCTATAGCTGGGGTGCCCTAGAGGAACTAGATGTTTCCTCACTGGCAGCGTCAGCCATCCTTCTTTAACCAATAACATGTTTGTTTCTTTCCTTTTTTATTTGGTGGAGGAGGGTGGTGGGCAGGGTTTGAACCCAGGGTTGCTTTACCACTGAGCCACCTCCTCAGCCCTTTTTACTTTTGTTTTGAGACAGGGTGTCAGCTAAGTTGCTGAGGCTAGTCTTGAGGTTGGGATCCTCCTGCCTCAGCCTCCCAAGTTGTTGGGATCACAAGCATGTGCCACTGTGTGTAGCTAACATGGGGTTTTTGAAGTTCGTCTGTATTGCTTCATGAACCAGTAGTTCCTTCTTTTTTATTCTTTTTGTTTCTGAGTAGTATTCCACTGTTTCCAGCTTTGGCTATTACAAAGGAAGCTATATGAGCTTTCATTTACAACTCTATATCAATGTTTCCATTTCTCTTGAATAAATGCATTGTTGTGAATTGCTGAGGTATATGTCTCTCTCTCTTTTTTTTTTTTTTTTTTTTGGTGGTGCTGGGGATTGAACCTAGGGCCTTCTGCATGCAAGGCAAGCACTCTACCAACTGAGCTATATCACCAGCCCCACTGAGTTATAAGGTAATGGTATACTTAAAAATATTTGAGAACTGTCAACTGTTTTCCAAAGTGGATGCATTATGGTACAGTMCCAATGATAATGATTGGGGGTTCCAATTTCTCTCACCTGTACCAACACTTGGTATTGTCCTTTTGTTTTTAATCATCCTAGTGGATGTGAAATTCCCAATTGTGAGTTTTTGTTTTTTTTTTTTTAAACTGAGATACAATTTACATTCTATAAAATCTACTCTTTTAAAGTGTACAATGCAGTGGTTTTTAGTGAATTTATGACTTGTGTAAAACCGTTTCACAAACCTAAGTCCCCAAAAGAAACTCTGTGCTTGTTAGTAGCCATTCCCTATTCCTCCCGTTCTCAACAGACACCATTCTGCTTTCTGTCTCTTTGGATTTATTTATTCTAATTATTTCGTATATATCTGGCTTCTTTCATTTAACAGAAATTTTCAAGGTTCATCCATGTTCTACCATGTATCAGTACTTTATTCCTTTTCTTCTTTTTTTTTTTAAATATTTTTTTTTAGTTGAAGATGGACACAATACCTTTATTTATTTGTTTTTAATGCGGTGCTAGGGATAGAACCCAGTGCCACACACATCTAGGCAAGTGCTACCACTGAGCCACACTCCCAATTTCACTTCATTACTTTCCATGGCTGAATAATATAAGTAAAATATAGATGTTTTATCTATTCAACAGCTGATGAACTTTTGAGTTGTTTCCTCTTTTTGGCTGTTTTGAACAATGCTGCTATGAATATCTGTGTACAAATTAAGTTTTCTTCCTCTTGAGTAATATAGAGGAGTGGAATTGCGGGTCATGTGATAATTGCCTTTTGGGAAACTGCCAAACTGTTTTCCAAACTGGCCACATTGTTTATTCTCACCAGCAGTGTATGACATTTCCATTTTTTTTCAAAATCCTTGCCAACAGGGGGTACTGTCTACCGTTTTGACTAGTCACCCTATGGGTGTGGAGTAGGTCTATGGAGTCGCTCTGCATTTCCTTAATGACTATAGCCTGAGCATACTTTTTTTTTTTTTTTTGTGCTTATTAGCCATCTGTGTATCKGCTTTGGAGAACTCATGTGGGTTTAATTTGCATATCGACTGATGTTTCTGACCCTTGTTAGGTCTTGGAGAATACAGTAGCCAATTATCAAGAAAGGGGAAAAGGGACAAGGACCTGAGCAGATGCCCTCACTGAGCCCTGTGGTGGCCAGGCCTCACTCCCACTCTTGGCTCTGCCTGAAACATGGCCTACAGCAGCAGAAACCTTGTTACCTTGTTCCTACCTAGAGTTAAAGGATTTAATAAGTAACTCTTTTCTAAATACACACCAAAATAGCAGAGCAAATCTGGGTGGGAGAATTTTGACCAAATTACAAAAGAATTTTCTTTATTAAAAGATGATCCTTCTTCTTCCAAAGAAACATGGACCAGCAGCCAGCTGAGTAAATTTTCCATATTATCATCAATCTTGTGACAGCCCAAGTTGACCCTCAGAAAAATGCCTTGTTTTGAGATTGAATCTAGCAATAAATAATAGGGTTGCAATTTCCTTCCTTCCTTCCTCCCTCCCTCCCTCCCTTCTTTCTTTCTTATTATAATTTCTGAAAACAAGAGTTACAGGGTACATATAGTTGAGGAAGTCAGCGCTAAAGGAATTTGCTTCTTATGAAGACAACAACAAATGACTAAAGAACCCTTCCAGTTCTGAGTGTCYGACAGTGAAGCTGAGGCGTCTTCCACAATGGAGGGTTAGCATGGGAATCAAGTCATTATCTATAGAGATTGCTAACTAGGTACATTCTTTGCCTCCAGAAAGTACTACTACTAAAAAATATGAAGAAACAGGGTGTAGGGCTGGGCTCCTCCATCTGGGTGCACCAATAGGGAGAAATCCCTCACCCCATTTTCAGGATCTAACAAGGGCTTATTTTAATCAGTGAAAATGTAAACAAGCCAGGCTGCCATGGTGTGAACATCCCCATGCTTCCTAAGTTGAAATTTCATCCCCACACTGAGGTGCTGAAGGGGTGGAAACTGTTCATGGGACCTTTGGGAGGTGACTAGGACTAGGTATGGTCCTTGTGGTAGAGCCCCCATAACCTGGTGATCCGGCAAGTTGTAATCCAGTGGTGTGCATTTCTGCAGACTCCTAAAAGAGACAAAGGCTCTCATCTTTATGAAACTGTCAGGATGAGTCCTAAAGAAACCTCTTAGATTGTCTTTACACTGCACGGCAGTCTGCCCACCATCCAAACTCACAGAGACTAACTGAAGGGCTGCGGATTATTAATAGCTCTCAAAAACCCAATAATGTTGTTTAAGACAGTGGTTACAGCTGTTAATCAGAAGACTGGAACTTGACTCTTCTTCCTTCTTTTCAATAAAGATCGATGAGCCCTAATCCTAGAGGTTCTCATTCAGTAAGTGTGAGGCAAAGCCAAGGATCTCTATATTTATTAAATGTTTCACATACAAATGTAATATGTAGCCAGGGTTGACAATGCCTATTTTTAAAATGTGTGCAAAACACTGCATGGATACTGTTAATCTCTAATTCTAAGAAGCCATGAGGATGTTCCCAAGATGGTATGTGCCTGCAGCAGCTCAGATAGTGGGGCTATGAAGGCTGGGATACTGTAAAAACCTAGTACAGATGTTTTAAATGAGCAGGGTGTGGTAGTGCATGCCTGTAATCCCAGTAGTTTTGGAGGCTAAAGCAGGAGGATCACAAGTTCTAGGCCTGTCTCAACATTTAGCAAGGCTCTAAGCAATTTAGCAAGAACCTATATCAAAAAATTTAAAAATAAATAAATAAATAAATAGGGCTGGTAGAGTCCCTGCCTTGCATGTACAAGGGCTTGTGTTTAATCCCCAGCACTACAAAATAATAAATAAATGAAATAAAATGGGCTGGGGATGTAGCTCAGTGGTAAAGTGCCCCTGGGTTCAATCTTTGGTACCAAAAATAAATGAATGAATGAATGAATGAATGAAAGAAGAATAAATAAAAGTTTTAAATGTGAGGGAGTATGACAATGGGTGATGGTTTATCCTTCCTGTCAATTTCCTCCTAAATTTCCCACAGTGAGTTTTAATTAACACTTTCCAAAAGGGGGGTTGTAATCCAGTGGTGCTGAGGATTGAACTCAGGGCCTTATGCATGCAAGGCAAGCACTCTACCAACTGAGCTATATCCCCAGCCCCAAGGTAAACAAAATATATGATTTAAATCTAACTCTGGTGAACTTTGTGATGAAACTTGGAGAATCTGCTGTTATTACTATGATTTATTGCACATTACAGTTTTTTTTTTTAAAGATGGACACAATATCTTTATTTTATTTATTTTTATGTGGTGATGGGGATTGAACCCAGTGCCTCACATGTGTGAGACAAGTGCTCTTCTGCTAAGCTGTAACCCCAGTTGCCACATTACCGTTTTTTGTTTTATTTTCCAACTTTGTTAAAAAGGAATTTAGTATTTGAGAAAAAAGAAAAATGAGCTCTCCTGGTTCATCTAAGCAGCCTAAAATGTCTTTCTTCAAGGGTCAGGCAGCCTGAGTGGGCGTGTTGGGCGTTTGGGGAGAAGTCCCTGGGCTGATAGGGAGGCACTCTACAGGGTGCTTTGCTGGCTGCTCAAATGATCTAACTGGCTCTCTTTGTAGAAGAAGGTCTTTGAAAAAAATCAATACAAAGCTTATCTGGCAGGCTATAAATAAATTCTTTTGAGCAGTACACCCACTTTATGCAAAGCACTTGTATAGTTGTTGAGATTAGAGGATTAGGAGTCTTCTGTTTAACAGAAATCCAGTCAGGAGGGATCCTTCCTGAGAGGCCCAATGCTTGTGAGATCACTGCACATGGCAAAACAAACACAGGGCGAAAGGCACCAGAGGCAGTACTCACCCTCCCCATCCTAACAACCATTTCACAAGAATTAGAGAACTGGTATCAGGAACTACCAGGTGTAAACAGCCTTATCTTGGTTCAAAGTTAAGGAGTACAGGGATCTCAGGGTCAAACGGCTTTGCAGTTTTATTTACAACACTTTAAAAGCACTATGTGAGGTCAACAAGGCTATTTAACGGCATTACACATACTAAATTATTAAAATTCAATCGGTGCAGCCMATCTCAACAAATTTATCTATATATTTTTAATTTATAAACTAGTGGTTGGGAATGATTGAAGACAGGTGTAAGGTTTAACTTACCTCACTGTACTTTTCTTTTTCCCCAGACTTTTTTCTATTTAGTTCTGTTTCACTAACCTTTCATGTTTAGAGTCAGACATGCAACATGTTTCTAGCTTCTTGGGAAGAGGATTTGGAAATCTTTGGAAGAGGAAATTTGAAAGATTTGGAAGAGGAAATTTTGAAATTACTTCCTTGGGGAGAAACAAATCAAGAATTTCCATCTGCAGCTTTTGCAACTCTATTTTCCTATGAAAGCATAAAGTGGCACGCCTTGCTATACCTGATAGACTGTGTTTGTATGACCTGCTCCTGGGTGAGCTGTCCTGCCTGTCCTGCCTGGCTTCATTCCAGTGCTGTTCCTGCACTCTGGTCCTGCAGCCTCAAACTTCAGGACTTACATTTGTTTAAACACTCCACTGGGCCATATTCCATCCCCTTCACCTGGTTAACACTTAGAAAGTCTGTGGTTTGGGTTTCAGATCGTCCCTCCTATCATCTCCTTCTTTGCTTCTAGGTTTAATTCCCTTCCTCCTGGATTACCATTTAAAACTATGCAACATGGGTAGTTTCTTTATCTCTCTCAGGCTTAGTTTCCTCACAAGATTATTCTGAATAATAAATTAGCTAAGACATATGCAAAACACTGAGAATAATGACTGGCACATAATAAATATTCAATAAGTGTTAACTATTTGTACTATTCTTTTAGCATGTTACGGTGACCTTTCCAGTCCTTGTCAGAAAGCATCTATTTCTCATGTTGACAGCTAAGCTTGTTTCTTTCAGTATGTTCAAGATATTCAATTGTCTTTTATTCATGGAGAAAATTCGTAAAAGTTTTATCACAAACATCTTGCAGCAGCACTGGATGTAATCAGATATTTTATTTGAAAATAAGGGTTTTTGGCCAGTTGTGGTGGTGCAGGCCTATAATCCAGCATCTTGGGAGGCTAAGGCAGGAGAACTGCAAGTTTGAGGCCAGCCTCAGGAACTTAGTGAAGCCCTAAGCAACTCAGTAAGACTCTGTCTCAAAATAAAAAATAAAAAAGGGCTGGGGATGTGGCTCAGTGGTTAGGTGCCCCTGGGTTCAATCCTCAGTACCAAAACAAACAAACAAAAAAATAAAATAAGTCTTCTTTTATAAAGAAATTGTTCTATCATTGCTGTAGAAAAACTAATTGCCAATACTTTGCAGGAGGAAATTTAGAGATTTTCTCATCTCTGTGCTGGCATAAAGCTATCTTTTATACCATTCCTTCTCCAAGAAAACGATGCTTCAGTGGGCCAGGCTCAATATAAATTTGCATTCCTAGGATGAATCTCACTTGATCATGGAGTATTATCCTTTATACATCTTCCTGGATTCAATTTGCTAATATTTTCTTAATGATTTTTTGCACTGTGTTTATGAGAGAATTTAGTCAGCAGTTTTCTTTTCTTGTAATGGCCTTACATTGTTTTGGTATCAGTGGCCKGACAGAATGACCTGGAAAGTCTTCCTTCCTGCCTTCAGACAGAGGATGCACTAAGCTAATCTTATTTCTTCTTTTAGCATGATAGCAGTGCACAGTTAAGCCATCAGGGCTGGGGATTTTCTTGGTGGAAAGTTAATTATAAATTCAATTTCTTGGGCTGGGGATGTGGCTCAAGCGGTAGCGTGCTTGCTTGGCATGCATGCGGCCCGGTTTGATCCTCAGCACCACATACAAACAAAGATGTTGTGTCCGACGAAAACTAAAAAATAAATATTAAAAAAAAAAATTCTCTCTCTCTCTAAAAAAAATCTCTAAAATAAATAAATAAATAAATAAATTCAATATCTTTAACAGACAGAGCTATTTGGTTTTGTCTGTCTTTTAAGAAGTTTGTCTATTTCACATAAGTTGTCAATTTTATTGGCAAAAGTTGTTCATAATTTTCTTTATCACCATTTTAGTGTAAGATCTGTAGTGATAATCCTTCTTTCATTCCTGAGACTGGTCATTTGTGTTTTTGCTTAATCAGTATTGTTGAGTTTTTTTTTTTTTTTAAGAGAGAGTGAGAGAGGAGACAGAGTGAGAGAGAGAGAGAATTTTTAATATTTATTTTTTAGTTCTCGGCGGACACAACATCTTTGTTGGTATGTGGTGCTGAGGATCGAACCCGGGCCGCACGCATGCCAGGCGAGCGCGCTACCGCTTGAGCCACATCCCCAGCCCAGTATTGTTGAGTTTTATTGATTTTATTGATGTTTTTAAAGAACTCAACTTTGATTTTCTCTTCGTGGTTCCTTTTTTTTTTTTTAAAGAAAGAGAACACTGTAGATGACATTATAGGTTTCTTCAATCTCCCCCCAAACATCCTCCCTGCTTCTGTCCCTCTCTTTTTTCACGTTTATATTCCCCTACACAATGTGTACATTAATCAATGCTAATTTCTACCACACTGCTGGGTGGTAGAAATTACTCACCGTGTTTCCTGCTTCTGCAGCGAGTCGGGCAGCATAGCGGGCTATGAGTCGGTGCTCCTCATCCAGCCGGCTAGGACTTTCCAGGACACTGCCAAGGAGATAAAAATTCAACAGGTGTCTATTAAGCACCCCCAACTGCTGTTCCATCCTTAAAAAGAAGACACAGGAGAAAAGCTTATAATTCAGAATAATAACAAAAGAAATGCAGGCCTGGATCGAAGGCAATAATGGTCTCCTGAGACAAAAGGGGACTCATGCAGATGTGTCACTCTTCCCCAGCATACACCTCACTCTCCCGCACCAGCAAAGGGGCACTTCTTTTTGAATGAAGGGCTAAAACAGGGTACTCACAAGTTCTGAGTTAGGGATTTCTAACCAAATGCTGGGAAAAATCCATGACTTTTTAGACCTAGATCTTGAATTCAAAAAGACCAAGAGAAAACTAGAATATCATGAAAAAAGAAAGAACTGAGAAAAAGTATACTTGACATGGCTGAGCAAAAGTGGGGAATCCTGGCTGGAGCCAACCAAACTACTATAAAGCCGGAGAAGAATCCATGGTATTCAACATTCCCTTTTAATACCTCTCTCTTATTTTACTATGCTTATTCTGCAACTTTACCCCTTAGTTTAGGCAACTAAATGAAAGAAGGGTTCTTGAGTAGGTTAGTCCTATGTAAATGGTTGACTTTTTTATTTTAGTAAGCTGTTGTTTACTCATACCAGCCCAGTCCTAGATTAACAGGGTCTCTGTCAGGCATGGTGGTACACACCTGTAATCCCAGCAACTTGGGAGGGTGAGGCAGGAGGATCGCAAGTACAAGGCCAGCCTCAGCAATTTAACAAAACCCCGTCTCCAAATTAAAAAAAAAAAATAAACAGGAACTGTATCCACATAATTATCTTTAAGACTGGAAGAAGCTTTAGGACAAAAGTGACAATGATGACTGACCAGTGAAGGTTGCTGTGGCTTGTCTCTTCTTTGGCCCTAGTTTCATGAAGTTTCCAAACCTCTTGATCAGAATTTGGTGGCATGACAAGTAATATTTAAGAATTTAAAGATATGAGTTCAACACTCCCCCAACCTTGTTACAATGACTGTGGGGATGCTGGGAAGGTCCAGGTTAAATCAATAAAGGGAGCCCTTTTTCTTGCATAGAAGCAACTGCATTTTTTCTATTTAAAAAAAAACAAAAAAACTTCCTATGTTTCTATTTCTGTGGCCAATTTAACCTTAACTTAGTCTTTCCTCTAGGATAGATTTAAAAAAAAACAAAACAAAAACATGCTTTAAGTCACCTGGCTATAACCCCTATCAATGTTTTATAAAGTTTTAGGTGTGTGAATGTTCGTGTTACTCAGTAGGCTGTAATATTTCAGGGTCAAGACGCCATAGTCTGAGTTGAACTACCATATTTGTGCCTTAAAGGTGTTTTGTCAGAAACAAGAGAGCTGTGTGTTTTATTTATTGATTTATTGCAATATTGTGGAATGAACTCAGCAGTGCTCTCCCATTGAGCTATATCCTCAGCCCTCACTTTTTCAAAAAATATTTTATTTTGAAAAAGGGTCTTACTAAGTTGCCAAGGCTGGCCTTGAACTTGGGATCCTATAGCCTCAGCCTCCTGAGTGGCTGGTATTATGGGTTTACATCACCATGCCCAGCAAAAACTGTATCTTTTAATTAAAAAACAAAAATGAATGATTAACAAAACAAGTGAAATGACATTACAGAGGGAATGGCAGCCCAAGAGTGGGACCTCTGTAATATGGCAAGGCTCTCTGGCACAGAAGCTCCTTTTCCTCTATCACACTCCATCTCTGTAGGAAAGTTAATCTTACCTGCCATTTACACACAAGCATGGATGATAAGACTGCTTTAATTGGCTACGTTTTCTAGACAGAAACTAGAACTGTGTGTTAATGAGAATATTTTAGTGTTGTTGTTACTGGGAAGTGAACTGAGAGGTGGTCTCCAACCCCCCTTTTAAAAGTCTGTCTTTATCCCCAGCCCTTTTTTTTTTTTTTTTTTTTATTTTGAGACAGCATCTCACTAAGTTACTGAGGGCTTTGCTAATTTGCTGAGACTGGCCTTSAACTTATGATCCTCCTGTCTTAGCCTCCCATGTTGCTGGGATTAAAGGTATGTACCACTCAGCTAATGAGAAGTTTTAAGGTCAATGAAAATTATTTGATGGTAATTACAAAGGTTCCTTACTCTTCTGTTTGACTTACATTTTCAGAATTAGCCAGGAAATGCCTGACTTCTTCAATGAACTATGAGGCTCAGTTCCTCAGACTATAAATCAAGAAGAGATGCAGCTTTCACTACTCATCATGTTCTCCCAGGACCACAGGCCACCATTTCTTGCTCAGGGAGTCTTGGACCTAAGCCACAGGACTTGAACACTTTGGGAAAACCTACCACAAACCTTTGTGGGCTGAAATATCAGGCAGCAGTCTCTGCCAACATCCTGTTGCCATTTTACTGTGACATCTTTAAGCATGCTGGACAACTGCCCTTACTGATAAAAAGTAATTTTTCCTGCCTGGGGTAAAACAGCTCAATTTCCAGAAACCAAGAGGCTGGAATGAGTGCACAGAAATCAGGTGTTGGACAAGAAGATGTTCTCTGTGACTCAACGTACAATTATCAGCCTTACTTCCCCTTCCACAGAATGAGCCCCTTTGGACCCACCTGGGACTCCAGAGGATCCTAGATCTTCTATGGCTTTTGAGAGAGGAAAATGCCCCCAAATCACAATGCTTCTTAGTCATACAAAAAAAACCTCATGGGAAATAGTGTGGCACACCATAGTAAAAATAGTCCTTTTCAAGTGTACGTTTCCCCCACTGACTACTAATTAGAATGGGGGATGATGAGTGAGGTCAAAGGACCTTCCCAAGGAGCCATGCATGCTATGGGAAAAACTTGGATCAAATTTAATGTTCCACCTGTTATATGTATAGTTTATATATTATGATTTTCTCTTATAATAGGCTTCTCAAAGCAAGGCTTTACAAGTTCTTTGGCATCATACTCCTCTTTGCTGCTATGTAGAGGGAAGGGGTGGCTTTAGGTTATCGTCCTTGGGGAATGGTGTCGGCCTGGAGTAGACAGGAGGCTGTGGTTCCACCTGAATGAAAAGTGCTTTGTTTGGTATTAACTTTTTTTTTAAGGGATTAACTTTGCCATAGTTAGTGGTTACCTAATATTTTTCCATCTCAACCCACTGAGGGATCAGTCACATTCCCATAGTAACAGGAAATCAGAACTCTAGATAGGGAAGAGGGGTTGAAGGGCAAGGGGGGTGGGAATGGGGTTAGAAATGATGGCGGAATGTGATGATCATTATTATCCAAACTACATGTATGAAGACATGAATTGGTGTGAGTATACTTTGTATACATCCAGAGATATGAAAAATGGTGGTTTATATGTATAATAAGAATTGTAATGCATTCCGCTGCCATATATAAATTAAAAAATAGTAGCTTTTATTTATTTATTTGTTTTGCCACAGTAGTTTTTAGGGTAAGGGGCATGGAGGATTATAGTACATGTAACTATTATAATATGAGGAGGTATATATAGAGTTCTTAAGAAGCCTCTTAGGTGACAATGATCCAATACCACTGTTGAACACCAGTGGTTTAAAGAATCGAGAATGACAGATTTGTTCCAACATGCTAAAGATGAAATACGGTGATGGTATCAAAGCACCCATATTAGACAAAGTGAGATTGATTGGCCTTCACCTTCGAGTGTCAACAGGAAGATTTCATTATTTAAAAGGAGAGAATGCATGAAATACTTCTGTGAACGATATCTGGAACTGTAGATCTCTAGGAGGTTTTATGCACTCTTCAAGTGCAATCTGAAGGGGTTAAACCCTACTTCTGGGGAGACTTTATAACTCCACGTTTAGGTAAATGCTGGGCTTGGCAAGGCTCCTTCTCTTGTGGAAGCCAATGCTTCAGCAATTGTTTTAACTCTGCCAACCACACATGGCAAGTTTTCAAGAGCACCCCACGAGCAGAGCTTTTCCGGCTGGCAACCCCAGGTAACCCAGCTCTCACTCCCTCCAATCAGCCCTGGCCACCCGCCTGGTGCTGCTGCTCTACCACTAACCGTGCACAGTGCTGCAGRCGGGCCACATAGGAGGCTATCAGCGCATGCTCATCGGCCAGCGAGCTGGGCATATCCTGGCTATACTGAAACCTGGGAACGATGCAGGCAAGGACAGCAAGTGTGACAAACACAGAAGGAAAAATGAACATGGATTAAAATGAGCAAACTTAAAAATAGGAAAAATAAATCATGATAAGGAAAATAATAAAAAACCACAATGCATAATGCGATAAGGTATTAGGCGATCTGGAGTCCATCCCAGTCCTTTAACACAAGCAACCTTTTAGGAGATAATGTTGGCCAACTGACAACACAGTCCTTGAGGAGCTGTGCTCTCAGCTCTGTCAAGGTTCTGGGCTGTGCAATGGGTGTATGTTTTAGGGAGGCCCTCTGGCAGAACTATTGAGCAGAATGAATCTATTTCGTATAACTAAGTGATTTCTGAACGTTTTGCTTTTATAGCTYTTGTCTACCCTTAAGAATTTTCAATGTTAATTAAGCACACTGCTATCTAAATATTATTTGTCAGAATTCCTCCTTTAGCTTCAGTCTATTTTCTCCCATAAAACTTGTACTTGAACCAAACTCACTGGAATTGTATCCAATTATAAGACATCTCTGAGACTCTCTCTTAGAGATATGTGAAAGGTTCTTAAGCACAAGCTCTTTTTTTAAAATTTTTTTATTCTAATTTGTTATATATGACAGCAGAATGCGCTACAATTCATATTACACATATAGAGGCCATTTTCCATATCTCTAGTTGTATACAAAGTATATTCATATCATTTGTGTCTTCATATATATACTTTGGATAATGATGTCCATCTCATTCCACCATCATTTCTAACCCATGCCTCTTCCCTTCCCCTCCAACCCCTTTCCCCTAACTAGAGTTAGTCTATTCCTCCCATGCTCCCCCTCCCAACCCGACGATAAGTCAGCCTCCTTATATCAGAGAAAAACTTGGTTTTTGGAATTGGCTAACTTCACTCAGCATTATATTCTCCAGCTCCATCCATTTACCTGAAAATGCCATGATTCTATTATCTTTTAATGCTGAGTAATACTCCGTTATGTATTTTTACCACATTTTTTTTTTTTATCCATTCGTCTACTGAAGAACACTTAGGTTGGTTCCACAATTTAGCTATTGTGAATTGTGCTGCTATATGGCATGTTTTTAAAAAAATTTATTATACAAATGCTAAAATTTGCATAAAATACAATAATCTAAGGACTGCCTCTCAGGTACCCATCAATAAACATGAACAAATATCAACATTTCATCAATCTTGTGTAATCTATTCTTTCTTCTTTTAACTTTGGTGCAGGAAAGGTGGCTATAGCAAATCCAAGGCAATCATTTCACTTGGGAATCCTTGAGCTTATATATCTATCAGTGAAAACATTTTACATGACCAACATTATCATCACACTTATGAAATTTGGCAAAAGTGTTTTAATATATCAGCTATTTTGAAAAATCTCTTCAAACCCTAAAAGTGTCCCTTTCCTGTTAAAATCAAGATCCAAGCAAGGTTCCCACTTTGCATTTGGTTGATAAGCTTATATTTGATGGATATATTTCTGTCTTTAGTCCATAATGGTTCCATCTTTTCCTTGTTTATTTTATGACATCTGTTGTGAAGAAACCAGAATACCTCGTAGAATACACTACATTCTGGATTTGACTGTTTCCTGTGCAAGTTATAAGACATTATAACTTATTTCTCTATCCCGTATTTAGATCTAGATACTTGATTACATTTTTTGCTTGTTTTGTTCATGAGAAGTGGCTTGAGTCTGTGTATGTTGTACTCATAAACCAAAAAGAAGGCATATAATGGAATGGAATACAGACACTGATGAGTGGACTCATCATAACTTATTTCTCTATCCCGTATTTAGATCTAGATACTTGATTACATTTTTTGCTTGTTTTGTTCATGAGAAGTGGCTTGAGTCTGTGTATGTTGTACTCATAAACCAAAAAGAAGGCATATAATGGAATGGAATACAGACACTGATGAGTGGACTCAGATGTTATTGGTCGTCTCTCTCCATTATGAAGTCCTTCTTTTAATTTTTAACCTAATGGTACTTTAACATATACTAATGATTCTTACCTAGATTCACCATTTTTTTAGGGGGGCGGTGTGGCAAAAATGTTGATTTTTCTAATGTTATCATCCTTTCTGCAATTATTATTATCCTATTTTTTAATCTTAAAATACTGTTCATTTAAGAAAGATAAAACAAAGGCTGATTTTTCCATTATTTAATAAAATTCAGAATAATGAGTTAGTGCCATAGCAACCTCTAATGGCTACCTAGGAATTTTCTTAGTATCATTATGAATTCATATAGGTGTTCCAATCAATTTCAATTGTTATTATGATTATTTTTTTAGATGACGTCTTGCTACATTGCCCAGACCAAACTTGAATTCAAGGACCCCAGTGATAAGTTCAACTCAAGTGATCCTCTTACTTTAGCCTCCCAAGTGGCTGAGATTACAGACACAGCACAGTGTGCCTGGCTCAGTTATGTTTTCGATACTCAGACTGTGCTACTTTTGGCAAGTGGGGCAGAAGCTTCTGAGTTCTCTGACACACCAATTAGAACTTATTCGTTTCCTTGCTTTTTGTAATAAGATACACCCATTTTGTCTTGTATATATCCTGTCCCAGACTTGAAATCAACCACTTTTCCAAGGGCTTGTGGTTTCCTTTACTGGGAACGAGTATTTAGAGACCATATTAGGGTGCTCAGTATTTCTGGTTTGTCACTACTTTTAGGCCCTTTCAGTGGATAAAGCTAGGAAATGTGTATTTAGAAAGAAGAAAAATAAATGATTTATCTTAGGACTTTCAAAGTACCATTCCATTTTCTTCTGGCCTGCGTTGTTTTTAGTGAGTTGTCATCAATATTCTTGTTTTTTTTTTCTGTATACAACATGTCTTTTTTTCCCTCTAGCTGCCTTTGATATGTTCTCTTTCTCATTACTTACTGTTCAGCAATTTTATTCTGACGTGTCTTGGTTGGTATGATTGTTGTCTCTATTTAGCCTGCTTAAATTTATTGAGCTTTTCTGTTGTTGTTGAGCCTATAAATCTGTAGATTTATAGTTTTTTTGCTTGACATTGTCCCACAGGTAACTGAGCCTCTGTTCATTTTTCAGGAATTCTCTTCTTTGTGCTTCATTTTGGATAGTTGTATCTCTCTGTCTTTAACTTCAGTGAAGTATTCTCCTATGACTTCTGATCTTCTGTTAAGTCCAGCCAGCTACTGACTTTTTCAATTCAAGCATTGCCCTTTCAACCCTAGGCATTCCATTATTCTTGTTTAAATGTTTTTTGAATCAAAGTAGAAAATATATTCAGAAAGTTTTAATTACATTTGGTTCTTTCTTATTTCTTCCATTTTGCTCATTATATCCATATTTTTCTTTATATTCCTGATATTTACCATTACTGTTTGAAAATCCATGCATGATAATTGCATCATAGATTATTTCTAACTCTGTTTCTCTTGACTGATTTTTCTCCTGGATAGAGCTCATATTTTCCTGCCTTTTCCTGTGTCTTCTAAACTTTTTTTTCCCTTACTGAATCATAGAAATGATAAATTTATATTATAAATGTCTGGATTTTGTTGCCTTCCTCTAAAGAATCTGGCAGGGTTTTTTTTTTTTTTTTTTTTTTTTTGGTACTGGGGACTGAACTCAGGGGCACTTGGCTACTGAGCCACATCCCCAGCCCTAATTTGTATTTTATTTAGAGACAGGGTCTCACAGAGTTGCTTAGCACCTTGCTGTTGTTGAGGCTGGCTTTGAACTCAGGATTCTCCTTTCAGCCTCTCCAGCCACTGGGATGACAGGCATCTGCCACCACACCCCACCAGGCAGTTAATTTTGAGGCTTGTTTTAAGCTTCATCAGCACAGATCTAGAGTGGCCTTTATCAAGGACAATTTTCACCCTGCTCTAAGGAGTGGCCTTCCTGATGGTTTTTACAGAGTAATGTTCAGTTTTCAACGTCGTCTCTCTTCTCTACTTTGACTGGTCGGAACTCAAATATTTGTGTGTCTCAGGTAATTACCTGTTCCATTTTCAGATTTTCAGGATTTGTTCTTTCCAAGGTCTTAGAAAGTCTCATTCTATACAAATACAGCTTAGTTTTCAGAAAGATTCAAGGGAACCTCCATGCATATTTATAGAGCTCTTTCTCTGCATGGCTTCCTCCCCTCTGGTATTCTGCCTGGGAAATTCCAGCTTTCTTGAAGTCTGACTTCTATCTCCACATCTCAGAAGAGTGCCCTGCTCTGCTAGTATCCATTGCACTATGGACAAATGCCTCTGCGCAGGATGCCAGAGCAAACACAGGGCTATCTTCACTGCTTCTCTTCCCTCAGGGATCAGTCCTGTAGCACTTCTTATCTACTTTCTGAAAACAACTGTTTCTTATATTTAGACCAGTTGTAGTTCATACTGGGAAAGCTATAATATAATAACAGTTACTTCACCACAACCAGAGTGGAAGTTCCCTAATAACTCATTTTTATCATACCTTTGTAAAGTATTGATCCACCTCAAACTGGAAATGAAAACTTAAATAAAACTGCTTCTTCGTGGTGGACAGGTTGGGAAGTACTGCTATATAACCTTGCAGGCCACTATCTGGACATAAGCTTTTACTTTGATATAAGAAGCTATAGGAGGGTTTTGAAAAGAAGCAAGGAGGGCTGGGGTTGTGGCTCAGTGGTAGAGCACTTGCCTACCATGTGAGGCACCAGGTTCGATTCTCAGCACCACATACAAAACAAAACAAAACAAAGCAAATAAATAAAGACCCATCAATAACATATAAAAATATTTGTTTAAAAAAGAAGTAAGGAATGATAAGATTTACATTTTAGTAGGATAATTTGCTCTGTGGAAAGTAAACTGCAGAGAACAGAAGCACTCAAGTAGATTATTGCAACATTCCTGAGGGCATGGTGGTGCACACTTGTAATCCCAGAGACTCTGGAGGCTGAGGCAGGAGGATCACAAGTTTAGGGTCAGTCTCAGCAACTTAGTGAGGCCCT